AAAATAGATGGAAAAACCTCAAATCCACAAAAATCATCCAAAATCCTCCTAAAGCCGTGAAAATTCCCCAAAATCCTCTGTGGATCCACTAAAAACCCCAAAAATCCATGGGATATCCAAGAAAACACTGGAAACCACCCCAAAAATCCTGAAAAATGGGAAAAATGGGAAAAAAAATGCCAAAAAAATGGTGGGAATGACCCAAAAATGCTGGGATTGACCCAAAAGTGCTCAGATTGACCCAAAAATGGTGGGAATGACCCAAAAATGACAGGGAATGTTCTGGAATGTCCCAAAATCCCCGGATTTTGCCCCGAATGAGCCAAAAATGACGGGGAACGTTCCAGAATGTCCCAAAATCCCCGGATTTTTCCCCGAATGACCCAAAAATGACAGGGAATGTTCCGGAATGTCCCAAAATCCCCGGGTTTTGCCCCGAATGACCCAGAAATGACGGGGAATGTTCCGGAATGTCCCAAAATCCCCAGACTTTGCAAAGAATGACCCAAAAATGACGGGGAATGTTCCGGAATGTCCCAAAATCCCCAGATTTTGCAAAGAATGACCCAAAAATGACGGGGAACGTTCTGGAATGTCTCAAAATCCCCGGATTTTGCCCCGAATGACCCAAAAATGACGGGGAATGTTCTGGAATGTCCCGAAATCCCCGGATTTTGCCCCGAACCCGCACCTGCTCGGCGTAGAGGTCGTCGCGGTCGTGCATGTGTTGGTGTTTGCCCAAATCCGTGGTGATTTCCCCCACTTCGGTGTAGAACTGCACGTCCGTGTGCCGCTTCTTCCCGAACATGATGGCGTTCTGGGGGRAAAAATCRGGAATTTGGGAAATTCTGCTCRAAATCCTCGGGTTTCGGCAAAAAAAATCAGCGGATTTGGATCAAAATTCCAGGTTTTGAACCAAAATCACGGAATTTTGACCCAAACCCATGAGGTTTTGACCTAAACCCATAAAATTTCAATCCCAAACCACCAAACACCTCAAAACTGAGGGGTTCTGATACAAAATCACAAAATTCCACTAAAAACTGGGGGTTTTGACCCAAAATCTCAACATTTTGGCCCAAAACCCCAGGGTTTTGATCTCAAATCGCTGAGGTTGATCCAAACCACGAAATTGCTTTAAATCCCAAGAGATTTCGACTCCAAATCATGGGATTTCCACCCAAATCTGAGCAGTTTTGCCCCAACAACCCTTTTCTTGAACCCAAACCCCCAAAATCCGCGTTTTTCCCCCCAAATCCATGTTTTTCCCCCCAAAATCCGTGTTTTT